TGGGTATGTTATTTAGCGTAACTATTATTGTACACGATTGAATATGATCAAAACAGTAATTGGTTTGAGGTTGGAAGTGTATTGAGTTTTTAATAAATATAGCAACACCACCATGTGCCGTATTATCAGGGTGATTTGCTTTAATTAGTTGGTATCCAGGTATGAAGATATGTGTATATTTAGTGAAGTGTGTTTCTGTGATAAGGGCGATGTCGATACGTTTATCATATAATACATTTTGTAAAATATTTACATGGTTTTTAAGACCATTATCATTAAATTGTAAAACTAGGAGGGACTTATTTGTAGCAGAATTATTCATTTTTTTTTGCCAATAAGCTTGAGATTACCTGAGTAAGTAGTGAGATTAATGGATTGATGAGAGTTTTAAGCTCGCTTACAAAGCTTGCCATTAGCGAATTAATATCGGGAGTAGGCAGAGGAATATTAGATTGTGGATGTTGACCTTGAGTTGCCTGAGCATACGTTTGAGGTTGGCTAGGAGGAGGATTGTTGGAAGTGGTATTGCGTGGGTGGCTATCTTGTACATTGTTAGGCTTATGACTAGAGTTTACATGTAATTTTTGATTATTTAGGTTGGTTTTCTTACGTTGCTGGAGGTTTTTGTAAACTGTGCATCCCCTGTAGTTTGCAGGGTGGTTACCTGTGCAGAGGGCGCATCGCATTGGGTCTTGACGTGAATTTGGACAGGCAGATGAAGAATGGTCATCACCGCACCGGACACAACGAGGACTATATCCGCAGTAGGCTTTGGTATGACCATAAGCTTGACAGTTCTGGCATTGACTAATAATTTTAGGCTTGTGAGGTTCTTCTATTTTTATTTTTGTGTGCAATAAGGATTCAAGTTTAAAAATCTCATTTGAGTGATCTGTTGGCTCGAGGTCGACAAAAAATAATGGCAGGGGTATTTTGCTAATTCTGTGAATAACCTGCGTAACTTGTCTGACTTCATATAAGCGAAGTTCGAGTTCACTTTTGATCATTTCCGTTGGAGTGGATGGGTGCAAGTTACGAATAACTATACGCATGGGTTTATCTTCTTTTAGCTGGAATGTATGGAATTCAGCTTCCGCATCTCTTAAGTAGTGAACTAGTGTTCTATACGCTCCTGGATTGGTAGTTTGGATTTTTAAATGATCAGCCGTTGACTTGCAGATAAAATTATCGACACCTATTAATTCAATTAGTTTTGTACAAACACCAGGGAAGTCTTCTACGCCTCGTATGAAAATTGGAGGGGGTGGTTTAGAGTAAGTGAGAACTGGATCTGGATCAGCAATTGACTGTTTTTCCTGTGCAGTAGTTTCAAAAGTTTCTTCTGTAGATTCCGGTGGTTTTAATACATCAAATCGGTTAGGAGTCGCGAATAGTTTTTTGCTTACATGTTGAAGTAGATTTGGTGACGATGGTTCTGAACTGGACGTACTAGAGTGATTGCGTTTATCACTATTAACAGGTGTCTTCGGTGACCTGGGTTTAGGATTTGCATTTGAGGTCTTGTTATTAAGATTTGCATTATTTGTATTATTATGATTACGGCTGGTCATATTTAAATGTTTAACTGTAGAATGATAAGTTTTCACGGACTGCGAAGTCGATTAATTACGCCGAGTAGCGTATATTATTATAATATTATTATAATATTAATTATTATCGTAATCGCGTGGACAAAGGTCACCGCCGCGGCGATGCCTCGTAGTGAGATTAGGTATATTATATAACCATGCACTAAATACGTATACTTAGTAAACTTAAATCTATTTCCACAAATAAAGGCTGGTTTTGGCAGCTGGTAGACACTGGGGTCAGCAATTACACTAAGAACTGAGTCGTTTGATATAAAGAACGAAAAATTCCGACAAGTTTGAGCGACATTACATTAAACAAACGCGGAGGCATGAAAAACGTGTGCATTCAGCTTGGCTGTCCGCGCGTGACT